CTACCAACCTACTACCACAGGATGATAGTACCTCCCTAGATGGTTGTCTACCAACCTACTACCACAGGATGATAGTACCTCCCTAGATGGTTGTCTACCAACCTACTACCACAGGATGATAGAACCTCCCTAGATGGTTGTCTACCAACCTACTACCACAGGATGATAGTACCTCCTTAGATGGTTGTCTACCAACCTACTACCACAGGATGGTAGTACCTCCCTAGATGGTTGTCTACCAACCTACTACCACAGGATGATAGTACCTCCCTAGATGGTTGTCTACCAACCTACTACCACAGGATGATAGTACCTCCCTAGATGGTTGTCTACCAACCTACTACCACAGGATGGTAGTACCTCCCTAGATGGTTGTTGTCTACCAGCCTACTACCACTGAATAGTAGTACAGTACCTCCCTAGATAGTTGTTGTCTACCAACCTACTACCACAGAATATTAACACCTCCCTAGATGGTTGTTGTCTACTAGCCAACTACCACAGAATAGTAGTACCTCCCTAGATGGTTGTTGTCTACCAATCTACTGCCAGAGTGAGTAAGAGAGGATAAAATAGATTTGTACTACCCACCTCTACACAGATTCTTAAGTGCCCCTAAATGCCAGTAAACTATCTACATTCCTCCCCCACACACACAAAGAAATAGTTCTAACTTTTTTAATCCTTCCCCAAGGTTGTCTCAACTATTTTTCACCGATATCAGTCAACCAATAACCTAATGGTCTTCTACAATCCTCTTATTTTTACATGAAAACCAAATATAACTGTGAGGTAGATCACAACACAGTATAACTGTCAGATGGATCACGACTCCAGTTATAACTGTAGGCAATCACTAACACATTATGATATAAACTTATGTATTCACTATAAACAAACCTATGCACTCAGTGGCCACTGATTAGTGACCCTACTAGTACCAGGGAGGGTCTTCTATGTCCCACCAAAAAAACAATTTTGTGCTGGATTCGTCAGTGCAGGAAACCGTCCTTAGAGTATTTGTCTGTTACCAAGATAGCACAATTACAGTTGCTAGCAGGTTTGTTGTTGCACAATTAGCTGCGAATCTCTGTGTCCCCAAACTCCAAAGGTTTACACCAATTCTGACTCTGCTAGTTTGTATGTCGCAGCAGGAAATTGTGATTTGTCACTGACATGTTTTACCATCCCTCAGGTGCAAGTTTTGAAGAGCGTGCCCCTAATCTCGTTATCCTGTTACTACTACAGTAGTGCAACCCGGCGTTGTTTCTGTTGCTGACACCATCACTTAAAAGTCAACGTTATTGTGGTTAAATACTCTCTACATGCCCTGTTGTACATGTAGTTATTTGAGTTATGGCACCTTCCGGCTCCTGCCTTCAACAAGTTTTCACCTCAACTGCGCTCACTGTATCTTTTTTTTTTCACATGAAAACCATTTTGTAATCTAGAGATTGTTGTGTGTGAAATCCAGATCAGCAGTTTCTGAGATGATCACGCACCCTCTGTGTATAACTATGAGCGATCAAAACACAGATACACTTGTCATGGAACGCTCAGTTAAAAACTCTGAGGCAGATCACAAACACGTATAACTTGTTCAGATGGACACGACTACAATTATAACTGTGAGGCAGATCACTAACACAATTATGAATATAAACTTATGTATTCACTTATAAACAAACAATATGCACTCAGTGGCCTCTGCATTAGGTGCACCCTACTAGTACCAGGGAGGGATCTTCTATGTCCCCCCAAAAAACCTAATTTTTGGTGGCATGGATTCGTCAGGATGCTGGAAACAATCCTTAGAGATTCTGGTCCATGTTAACAAGATAGCATCATACAGTTGCTGCAGGTTTGTTGGTTGCACATTTATGCTGCGAATCTCTTGTTCCGCCAAACTCCAAAGGTTTACACCAAATTCTGACTCTGCTGTCTGTATGTCGCAGCAGAAATTGTGATTTGTCTACCTGACATGTTTTCAATCCTCAGCTGTCAAGTTTTGAAGAGCCTGTGCCCACTGTATCCTCTTTATCCTGTTCTTAGCTGACAGGAGTGGAACCCGGCGTGGGTTTCTGTTGCTGTAGCCCATCCACTTTAAGGTTCAACGTTTTGTGCATTCAGATACTCTTCTACATAGCCCTGTTGTAACATGTAGTTATTTGAGTTAATGGCACCTTCCTGGCTCCTCTGACCTTTCTAACAAGGGATTTTTCACTCTCAGAACTGCGGCTCACTGTATGCTTTTTGTTTTTCACACCATTCTTTGTAAATTCTAGAGATTGTTGTGTGTGAAAATCCCAGATCAGCAGTTTCTGAGATACTCAGACCACCCCGTCTGTCTGTCACCAACAATCATTATACGATCAAAATCACTTAGATCACATATCTTCTCTATTCTGGAATGACATATCTTCTCTATTCTGGAATGACATCTTCTCTATTCTGGAATGACATATCTTCTCTATTCTGGAATGACATCTTCTCTATTCTGGAATGACATATCTTCTCTATTCTGGAATGACATCTTCTCTATTCTGGAATGACATATCTTCTCTATTCTGGAATGACATATCTTCTCTATTCTGGAATGACATCTTCTCTATTCTGGAATGACATATCTTCTCTATTCTGGAATGACATCTTCTCTATTCTGGAATGCTCAGTCTGAACAACTGAACCTCCTGACCATGTCAGCATTGAGATGCTGCCACGTGATTGACTGATTAGATATTGACAATAATGAGCAGGTGTACCTAGTAAAGTAGCTACTGGATGCGTGCCTTATTTAGTGGCTCTCTTGTTACTAAGGTTCATTAGTGATGATGTTGAAACCAGGTTCAATTTTAATAGCAATAACACCCACGTTGTTACTGAAGGATCCTAGTGGAGATAAGTCACTAGCTTTTCTTGGGATATTTTTACACACATTGTGCTGCATAAGACAAGTATAATGGTCCAGAATTGCGTAACATTGTACCTAAACAAGCTTACTTAATCTAGATGGATGAAAACGGTGTCTTGCACCAATAGATGGCGGTAAATGACACGAAAATAGATAAAGTTTTTTTCTGCTATCTGTGGGAATATTTGTAGTTGTTACACAAACTCTGACAACACTACTGAGTAACGTTGTTCCAGCACTTTACACAAACTCTGACAACACTACTGAGTAACGTTGTTCCAGCACTTTACACAAACTCTGACAACACTACTGAGTAACGTTGTTCCAGCACTTTACACAAACTCTGACAACACTACTGAGTAACGTTGTTCCAGCACTTTACACAAACTCTGACAACACTACTGAGTAACGTTGTTCCAGCACTTTACACAAACTCTGACAACACTACTGAGTAACGTTGTTCCAGCAACTAAACACCTTCAGTACCAGTGAAAATGATGGTGTTTGAAGCTCTCAGAAGATAGTACTGTACAAGTACAGTACCAGTAAAGATGGCAGTGTACGAGGTGTTCAGAAGATAATGTACATTGTAAACAGTAATAAAACCGAATTTGTTATACTAACAATGTTTTTCAGTGCTACCCCCGTCCCCCCAACTTCGCTTATTCGTACCCCCCTCCACTATGAGGTAGAGGCACTCCTGTATTAAGACATTTTAACTGAACCAGTTGTAAATACTTCACCACCTCTCCCCACCATCTCTTCTCTCTCCCCCACCCATTCTCTTTCTCCCCTCACCCACTCCACACACTTTCTACTCACCCACTCTCTCTCCATTCTCTTACTATAATTTCTCTCTCTCTCTCACCATATACCTAACAATGCTGTACTCCCTGGTACCTACTTCCTCACAGTAGCACCTAAGTAAGTGTATTCCCAACACCTACAGCCTCTCAACACGCACTCTGAAGTCACTATTTTTTTACGCAATCCCAGGGTTTCAATTCAGTTTTTTCCCTGTATTTTCTAGCGTCAAGTTGAGAGTGGACAAGTGTTTTCACTGATGACACTTGTTGTACCTCTTTCACCTTTACCAGGCATTTGTACTATGACTTCTGCCCCTGCACTCTCTCTCTTAAGAATATTCTCAGTCGTCCTCTCACTTTAGTATTAGTGTTAAGATATTTTATCAGTTCAGGCCAGGTACTAAAACATTCTATCACATCAATGTCAGTGTTAATATATTATGTCACTTCAGTGTCAGTGGTAAGGATTTTTTTCGTTTTAAACCCCACCACCTTTCTTTTTTTATATGGCAGAATTTACAGTTAAGATATGTTATTCTGCCTCAGTTTATTTACAGGTTAATAGATGTTATCCAACGTCAGTTCTTTCCAGGATACTACCCCCAATAGTCATCTAACACCCAGATACCTGTTTACTGCTAGGTGAACAGGGGCATCAGGTGCTCGAAGGCTCGCTCCAGTGTACCTATTAATGGTTATACTCTTATTTAAACATCATCGATTGTCAGCCAGTACTACCACCACTAAATAATTGATATACTGTATGCATGTATAATAATATATATCTTCTTAACACCCCGGCTGTCTCCCACCAAGGCAGGGTGACCCAAAAAGATAGAAAAATCTTTCATCATTATTCAACACTAACCATCACTCACACATAATCAGTCTTTGCAGAGGTGCCCAGATACAACAGTTCAGATATCCCTCCAAACGCCAATATCCCAAACCCCTCCTTTAAAGTGCAGGCATTGTACTTCCCATTTCCAGGACTCAAGTCCGGCTAACCGGTTTCCCTGAATCCCTTCACAAAATATTACCCTGCTCACACTCCAACAGCACGTCAAGTCCTAAAACCATTTGTCTCCATTCGCTCCTATCTCACACGCACACGCATGCTTGCTGCAAGTCCAAGCCACTCGCACACAAAACCTCCTTTACCCCTCCCTCCAACCTTTCCTAGGCTGACCTCTACCCCGCCTTCCCTCCACTACAGATTTATACACTGAATTTTATCATATACATATTTTGTGTTCATTACAGTAAGAATATTTTTGTTTCAGGTGAGCGGGGGAGCAGGAGGTGGCGTGGACAGGTTGTGCCCGTGAACCATACTCAGAACTACCATGAGCTGAGAAACAACCACATGCTGACAGACGACTACGTGCTGACAGACAACCACGTGTTGACGGACGACCACGTGCTGACAGACGACCACGTGTTGTGTCTTAGCACTCCTGGTTGAACAACGACCGTGGGTTGCAGCAGGCTGTGGACTGATTTTGAAATATCTTGTACCTGAATGCACTTGGACCAAGTTCAGATACCTCCATCACAGTGCTAATACTCATCTTCTGTATTGCACGAGGAAACAACTGGTGTGCCAAGCTTTTTGTCTGCTAATATCTGAAACAGCAAAATAATTCATATATCACAAAAGACCACGTGTCATTCGTGAATAATCTAGAACACTTGGGTTGTAATTGTGAGATTTACATTTTCATAATTTCCTACTTAAGAGTGAGAAAGCTTCGAGCTGAAGATTATTGCGGTATTAGTGTTGGAATTAGTGTTTGAAGCTACGGGTCAACGGCCCAACGGCCCAGTCCTTGACCCGGCTTCCTGGTGGATCAGGGCCTGATCAACCAGGCTGTTACTGCTACAGGCAAGGTGCGTTATAAGGCAGACTCTGGTGCTCGTGATCCACCTCCTCCTCCTATATGCAAACATCAGTTCGCCGGCTCCCCCGCCACACCACTACTCAGAAAGGACCGCGTTTCTATGTCCTTCTCGGTGGCTCCCGGCTCTTCGTATGCGGCAGCGGGGGCTTGGACACCTGACCAGGATTCTGTCATTTCTGGCTTCACGGACGCCAGCATCTACGCTTCCCTTCAGCGTTACCCTCACAGTGTGCAACAGTACCAGCAACAGCAGTACCAGCATCACCATCCAAGACACAAGAGTTCATTCGTCGCCCTCAGGAACGTCAATGCTCGACCAACACACAAAAGAGGAAGGTAGGTAGAGAATATTGATAAGACATGTGTAATAGTTCGGTATCTTTATTCCGATATGTTTCACCTACACAGGCTTCTTCAGTCGAATACAGAGGAGGCAACAAAGATGTAAAGATAATGTAGTCAGTGCATCACCCTTGAAGATGTAGGTCTGAGGTGGTCAGTCCCTCAGCCTGGAGAAGAGTTCTGCTTGAGTGAACATTAAAATGGTATAAAATACCGACAGGTTGTTAGGTAAGACACATATGCAACAGTTAGGTATCTTTATTTCGAAACGTTTCGCCTACACAGTAGGCTTCTTCAGTCGAGTACAGAAAGCCTACTGTGTAGGCGAAACATACCGGTATGAAGATACCTAACAGTTACACATGTGTCTTACTCATCAACTTGTCAGTATTATGTACCATTAACATGTTCATGTGAGGGATATTAAAAATGGTCATTCCTCACCAGCAGCTTCCCTGCTGAGAACATTCATCAAATTTTCACAGATAACCCATAAGGCTCCACATAAACTTTGTAAAGTAAAAGGACACAAGTGCAACTAATGTGACATTTTATTGTGGCAACGTTTCGCTCTCCAGGAGCTTTATCAAGAAAATGTCACATTAATTGCACTTGTGTCCTTTTACTTTACATATTGTCGGTAATTCTACCAACATTATTATAAACAAACTTTATTACCAGAAAACACTTATAATGTACAAGATGGCCCTGCTTATACAGTAGATAGGTTCTGGGCTACTGTAGGGCCCTGCTTATACAGCAAGTAGGTTCTGGGCTACTGTAGGGCCCTGCTTATACAGCAAGTAGGTTCTGGGCTACTGTAGGGCGCTGCTTATACAGCAAGTAGGTTCTGGGCTACTGTAGGGCCCTGCTTATACAGTAGATAGGTTCTGGGCTCCTGTAGGGCCTTGCTTATACAGCAAGTAGGTTCTGGGCTACTGTAGGGCCCTGCTTATACAGCAAGTAGGTTCTGGACTACTGTAGGGCCCTGCTTATACAGCAAGTAGGTTCTGGGCTACTGTAGGGCCCTGCTTATACAGCAAGTAGGTTCTGGGCTACTGTAGGGCCCTGCTTATACAGCAAGTAGGTTCTGGGCTACTGTAGGGCGCTGCTTATACAGCAAGTAGGTTCTGGGCTACTGTAGGGCCCTGCTTATACAGTAGATAGGTTCTGGGCTACTGTAGGGCCCTGCTTATACAGCAAGTAGGTTCTGGGCTACTGTAGGGCCCTGCTTATACAGCAAGTAGGTTCTGGGCTACTGTAGGGCCCTGCTTATACAGCAAGTAGGTTCTGGGCTACTGTAGGGCCCTGCTTATACAGCAAGTAGGTTCTGGGCTAATGTAGGGCCCTGCTTATACAGCAAGTAGGTTCTGGGCTACTGTAGGGCGCTGCTTATACAGCAAGTAGGTTCTGGGCTACTGTAGGGCCCTGCTTATACAGCAAGTAGGTTCTGGGCTACTGTAGGGCCCTGCTTATACAGCAGGTAGGTTCTGGGCTACTGTAGGGCCCTGCTTATACAGCAAGTAGGTTCTGGGCTACTGTAGGGCCCTGCTTATACAGCAAGTAGGTTCTGGGCTACTGTAGGGCCCTGCTTATACAACAAGTAGGTTCTGGGCTACTGTAGGGCCCTGCTTATACAGTATGTTAGGCTCTGGGCTACTGTAGGGCCCTTCTTATACAGCAAGTAGGTTCTGGGCTACTGTAGGGCCCTACTTATACAGCAAGTAGGTTCTGGGCTACTGTAGGGCCCTGCTTATACAGCAAGTAGGTTCTGGGCTACTGTAGGGCGCTGCTTATACAGCAAGTAGGTTCTGGGCTACTGTAGGGCCCTGCTTATACAGTAGATAGGTTCTGGGCTCCTGTAGGGCCTTGCTTATACAGCAAGTAGGTTCTGGGCTACTGTAGGGCCCTGCTTATACAGCAAGTAGGTTCTGGACTACTGTAGGGCCCTGCTTATACAGCAAGTAGGTTCTGGGCTACTGTAGGGCCCTGCTTATACAGCAAGTAGGTTCTGGGCTACTGTAGGGCCCTGCTTATACAGCAAGTAGGTTCTGGGCTACTGTAGGGCGCTGCTTATACAGCAAGTAGGTTCTGGGCTACTGTAGGGCCCTGCTTATACAGAAGATAGGTTCTGGGCTACTGTAGGGCCCTGCTTATACAGCAAGTAGGTTCTGGGCTACTGTAGGGCCCTGCTTATACAGCAAGTAGGTTCTGGGCTACTGTAGGGCCCTTGCTTATACAGCAAGTAGGTTCTGGGCTACTGTAGGGCCCTGCTTATACAGCAAGTAGGTTCTGGGCTAATGTAGGGCCCTGCTTATACAGCAAGTAGGTTCTGGGCTACTGTAGGGCGCTGCTTATACAGCAAGTAGGTTCTGGGCTACTGTAGGGCCCTGCTTATACAGCAAGTAGGTTCTGGGCTACTGTAGGGCCCTGCTTATACAGCAGGTAGGTTCTGGGCTACTGTAGGGCCCTGCTTATACAGCAAGTAGGTTCTGGGCTACTGTAGGGCCCTGCTTATACAGCAAGTAGGTTCTGGGCTACTGTAGGCCCTGCTTATACAGCAAGTAGGTTCTGGGCTACTGTAGGGCCCTGCTTATACAGTACGTTAGGCTCTGGGCTACTGTAGGGCCCTTCTTATACAGCAAGTAGGTTCTGGGCTACTGTAGGGCCCTACTTATACAGCAAGTAGGTTCTGGGCTACTGTAGGGCCCTGCTTATACAGCAAGTAGGTTCTGGGCTACTGTAGGGCCCTGCTTATACAGCAAGCAGGTTCTGGGCTACTGTAGGGCCCTACTTATACAGTACGTTAGGCTCTGGGCTACTGTAGGGCCCTGCTTATACAGCAGGTAGGTTCTGGGCTACTGTAGGGCCCTGCTTATACAGCAAGTAGGTTCTGGGCTACTGTAGGGCCCTACTTATACAGCAGGTAGGTTCTGGGCTACTGTAGGGCCCTGCTTATACAGCAAGTAGGTTCTGGGCTACTGTAGGGCCCTGCTTATACAGCAGGTAGGTTCTGGGCTTCTGTAGGGCCCTGCTTATACAGCAAGTAGGTTCTGGGCTACTGTAGGGCCCTGCTTATACAGTACGTTAGGCTCTGGGCTACTGTAGGGCCCTGCTTATACAGCAAGTAGGTTCTGGGCTACTGTAGGGCCCTGCTTATACAGTACGTTAGGCTCTGTGGAAATAAATGGTATCAAATACCGACACAGTGGAAATATAAACACATATGCAGTATAATGTGATCCTTTATTGACAACGTTTCACCCACACAGTGGGCTTTTTCAAGTCACACACAGATCTACTGGGTGGAAGGTACGGGAGTATTTATAGTCATGTTCAGAATGTTGAGGTCAGGTGGAGAATGCTGCATCTGATGATCTACTGGTTGGAGTTATAGAGTCTTGGGTAGCTTGGCAGGGGTATTGGACAAGTTTGTGAGTAGACCTTTTACTGCAGTGTTCTATGGTCTATGTGGGATAGCGATGAAGAAGTTTCTGGCGACGTGGTCCAGCTATGTTATAGAAGCCGTTGTTCTGGTTAAATTGTTGGTTATAAGATAAGCGATGATTCCAGGATTCTTCCGTATTGAATGTTAGTCTTCTGGGCGACAACACTCAATACCGAAGAATCCTGGAACATCGCTTAGCCTATAACAACAATTCAACCGGCAGAACAACGGCTTCTATAACAATAGCTGTAACCACTCGCCAGAAACTTCTTCATCGCTAGTCCCTCTATAAGAACATAGAACACTGCAGAAGGTCTACTCACAACTTGTCCAATACCCCTGCCAAGCTACCCAAGACTATAACTCCACCCGGTAGATCATCAATTGCAGCATTCTCCACCTGACCTCAACATTCTGAACATGACTATAAATACTCCCGTACCTTCCACCCCAGGTAGATCTGTGTGTGACTTGAAAAAGCCCACTGTGTGGGTGAAACGTTGTCAATAAAGGATCACATTATACTGCATATGTGTTTATATTTCCACGTTAGGCTCTGGGCTGCTGTAGGGCCCTGCTTATACAGCAGGTAGGTTCTGGGCTACTGTAGGGCCCTACTTATACAGTACGTTAGGCTCCGAGCTACTTCTGTACAGTGAAAGGTCATGGTAAAGTGAAACAAACTTTTTTCTCATTCAAATGCATATAAAAGCCTGTTAACATGTTAATATTATCATATATTAAGTGAACAATAGAGCTAGGCCTAAAAAATGCATATTCAGTATTCACATTACTTATCTTAAAATATTTTCCTGAGCCTATAGTGAGTGGTGAATGTATTTACCATAGGAAGTTGAATAAATGAAGAATGTATTTACCATAGGAAGTTTGAATAAATGAAGACTGGGTATAATTAAAATCCTCTGCACTAGTGAATGCTGTGAAGCAAAGCGCTGTTAAACGGGGTCTCCTGTATTCTCAGGTAGATGATAAACCTATAATGCTCATTTAGCACCTGTTCCCCTTCCTTGATCCAAGGAAGAGGAAGAGGGCTTTCCAATTCCCCTTAATGGGTATTCTCCATTTCTCTTGCTGTTAAATTAAGTTTTGGAAATATTTCTAAATCCATTGTAACTGGGGATGTCAATATGACCCTTGTGAGTTTAGGGCTTACTTCTGATTGTAATAACTGGGGAGTGTTTGTATGAACCTTATGGGTTTAGTGCTTAGTTTTATTATAATAATACTTGGGAGGGCACAGTATCAGTATGAGATCTGCTGCTTCATATCTCCTCGGAAGATTTAAGATTTATTTTAAGTACGATTTCTAAAATTTTGCATTAGGAAATTTAGGCAGCTCCTTGATAATAACAAATCAAATAAAAGTTCATGGTGATGGCAAAAATTCACACTACATGTATATAATTAGTTTAACCCTTTCAGGGTCCGTCCCGTAGATCTACGGCTTTACGTTCAGGGTCCAAACCGTAGATCTACGCCATGAGCTCAGCTCACTCTGATAAACTGTGAGTGGTACATTTGGGCCTAGATATGAGAGAATACATCTATGTGGTATGTGTGCACCACATAAAACAGATCCTGCAGCACACTGTGTATGAGAGAAAAAAAATGAAATCATGATTTTTCGATTAAAACAGCAACTTTGCAGTGTTTTTTCGTATGTTTTTTATAGTTGTATTTGCGATTTCTTGGTCTCATTTGATAGAATGGAAGACATATTACAGAAATAGAGATGATTTTGATTGGTTTTAGCACTGGAAATGGCTTGAAACTGAGCTCAAAGTAGCAGAAATGTTAAATTTTTGCCGATATTCAAGAGTAAACAAACGACCTCACACATCTAATACACACCAGCTGGTGGGTCTAATATACATTCACAAATATGGTGATGATATTTATACAATTATTACAGTATTGCATAACAGTAAATCTTCTATTTTTTGGTGTGAATAAAAATTCATTATGTGAATAAAAAATCAAAATGGAATTTATTTGTAAAGCCTCAAAACATAACTAATGAACAGAGGAAATGTTAGTTTAGTGCCAGGAATGCCTACATTGTTCATTCTGGACCCTATTTTGAAATTGGAATATTTTGAACTTTGTGTTAAATTGGCCAAATTAACAATTTCCGATCACTTTATTTGTAGTTGAAACAGTTGACTTGGCGATTTCTTGTGCTCAATCGATAGAATAGAAGTAATACTAGTGAAATAGCTAAGAATTTGGTTGATTGGAATAATGTAATTGGCCTAAAATGGGAGTCAAAGTCGGCAAAATCGCCGATTCGTAAATATCGCTGACACATCAAAATTCGCGAGAGCATAATTTCGTCAATTTTCCACCAAATTTCGTACTTTTTGTTTTATTACCTTCACAAAAAGATTCTCTACTATTTCATAAGAAAAAATAACAAATTTTTTTTTTGAAAATTCTTGGACACTGGTGCGTGACTCCAGATTTGGGCCTTGGACCCTGAAAGGGTTAAAAAAAATCTTAAAAACTTAGAAGAATTACTTTTCTCTGGAGTAAAAAAATTTTTACTGTATTGAATTTCCTAAAGAAAATTTATTTTATTTAATTTACTTTATTATTATACAATAATTTAAATAGTAAACCTTGAGGGAGTGTAAACCTGGAGGGAGTGTAAACCTGGAGGGAGTGTAAACCTGGAGGGTATTCTGGGGGGCAACGTTTCCATGGCCTGGTCCATTCTGTACATATATATTATGTATGTATTTATGGATGTATGTATTTATCTATCTATCTGTTATATTTATGCTAAAGTAGTTGTTTAGTATACATATATAGATATAAGGTTATAATACCAACTTTTGCATCTGACAGGCGGGTCAGTGAGATGACAGCCGGTGTAGGTGGAGATGGTGGGATGGGGGGGGAGGTAATCGAGGTACAGATCCTTCCCCAGGATGACAACTGGGGTGACAACACCACTGCCATCACTGGTAACACTTCAGTGCGCTCAGAGTCATTCCAGGTGGGTACTAATATGTGTGTTTTTTTTTTTTTTTTGGTTGTCATGTCTAATCAAGTTTGTTCTAAATATTTTTAATAACTACCAGAGTACTAGGATGTTTTAATTACCAATATAAATTTTTTTTATGCACTGATTTGATGTGCTGTTGGAGTGTGAGCAAGGTAACATGAAGGGATACAGGGTAAACTGGTTAACCAGACTTGAGTCCGGGAAGTGAGTACCAGAGGCGTCGTAAGGGGGGGGGCCGCCCCGGGTGACACCATTTAGGGGGTGGCACCATAGAGCCTCTAAAGAAGGTGACTCTAATGACAAAAGCTATGCTGCAGCAACCTAAGAGAAAAATTCTTCGTTTCTATATAGCCTATTATAGGATTACAAGTACAAACAGGCCTGTACAGGGAAAATCATTTATTTTGATGATGTAATAGATGATTTTGCAGGATTGAAGGCAAGGAAATGAAATATCAGATTCTTTGAGATGTTACCTGTACTCCAGGTTAAATCGGAACTAGTGTTTTTCTTTATTTTTAATTTTTTTTTCATTGTTAAAGATGAATAAATGTAGGATCTGTTGGCTGTACTCAAAGTGGTATTTGAGTTTATACAGTAAACCCTCGACATTCGATACTAATCCGTTCCTGAGAGCCATCGAATGTCGAAAATATCGAAAGTCAAATTAATTTTCCCCATAAGAAATAATGGAAATCTAATTAATCCGTGCAAGACACGCAAAAGTATGAAAAAAATATTTACCACATGAAATATTAAGTTTAATGCAATAGAATAATTACAATAACAATAGATTAATAACAATAGAATAATTGACACTTACCTTTAATAAAGATCTGGTGATGATTGATGGGACGGGAGGAGGGGAGAGTGTGGATGGTGTTAGTGTTTAGAAGGGGAATCCCCTTCCATTAGGACTTGAACTGGCAGCCTCACCATGCCTTACCACACTGTGTATGCCACTACGATTCTTAAATCTTTCAAACCAACCTTTGCTGGCCTTAAATTCACTCACATCACCACTAGTTGCAGGCAATTTCTTTACCAAATCATCATGCACTCCAACACACGCACTCCACTTTCGTACTTTGCAATTATTTCTTTCTTCATTTCAATAGTCATTAGCACCTTTTTTCTCAAAGGGTTGGCACTAGAAGCTTTCTTGGGGCCCATGGTTACTTATTTTGCAGAAACAAGCACCAAAAACAGTGATAATATGGAATGTACCGAATGTATCCTTAGATGCGCGCACACTGGCTGGCTTGTAAACACTGGCGCACACGGTGCAGTTCAGGCCACATGTGGACACGTCTCATACGAATCGTATCGAATGTCGGGTTTTCCATCGAATGTTGAGGCGCGAAATTTTTGCGTTAAAATGCATCGAATGTCGGATTTATCGAATGTCGATGCCAACGAATGTCGGGGGTCCACTGTATTTCCTCAATATTACCATGATTATTTATTTTATCATTAATAAAGTTCGGTTTATGGCCTTTAAACGTTCTCAGAGCTAAACATTAGTCACTAGTCATGCAGCAGAGATGTAACTGGAGTTTACTACCCCTATCACTCCCGCCCTTGGATTTCATGGGGGTGACACCAAAGATGCCGCCCTGGGTGACACCTGATGATTCCGCTCCAGGTGACACCAACTCTAGCGACGCCTCTGGAGCATTCCGTTGTTTAGACTATGAAGGAGTGGTGGGGATGTTGCAGTTTTGGAGGTTATTTGAGCTGTGATGTTTGTGTACTTTTGGCAAGACAGATATTGGATGAATAATGGTGAAAATGTGTCTTTTGGGGGGGGACTCAAATCTTGGTCCATGCATATGGCAGCCCCAACACTGTACCCACTCGGTCATATACAGCTAAATACAGTGTACTGTACTTAACATAGTTAGTGTATAATAGATAAGCAGAGGATATTTGTATCATGCATTTGCTCTTGGGGGAGTTGAACTTCACCCATTTTGTGATTTTCTTGGGTGTTCTTATTTTTTGAACACTGAGGTAGGGTGAGCCAGAAAATAGGAACCTCATTCACCATCATTTATTCAATCATTGTCTTGTAAGAAGTGTGCTGACATCATAATTCAGATGACCCTCTGAACTGCAGCATCATCAACCATCCTTCTGAGTACAGTCACTGTGTTTCCCATCTCCAGGACTGCAATATTCACACTCATCCTTCAGAGTACAGGCATTGTACTTCCCACCTCCGGGACTCAAGTTTGGCTTATCAGTTTCCCTGAATTCCCTCATAAATACCAAATACACGTATAGTGGAATCTCGGTACATGAACTTAATTAATTCCAGAAGGCTGTTCGAGTGCTGATCTGTTTGAGTATCGAACAAGTTCTTCCCATCCAGTTTTCTGTTTGATTGGCTGTTATCACTAATCTTCGTAGGCCCCATGGTAACTTATTTATACAATACAAAAAAAACACCAAAAAATGCGAAGAAACACGAAATAGCAAAGTTCTGGCAGGTCATGTTTGTTTGGTCAGATGCTGAGCTTTGCTCAAGTAGGGAGCTGTTCGTGTACTGAGGTTCCACAGTATTATCTAATGTAAGATTATTTTATCTTGTCATTGTCAAGAGTTCCGAGTAATCTTAAAAGTTGAAATGCTTCTCAAATCTTACAACTTATGAAGGAAATTTGTTGTGTTTCAGCTAACAACTAGTTAATTGTAACCCAGAATCTATTATCCTATTGAATATTATACTGCATAGGAGAAATGTCTCAAATGTCTGTAAATGCAGACTGGCATTTGTAAAGGAATAATTTTCTCAGTGTACGTATAATGTTTTTGGCCCTTGTTTGTAAGTGTGGATCATGGTGACCCATGTTTGCAGGTGAAAGACATCCTGTGTTTTTCAAAATAATGTTTAATGGTGAAAAAGACAGTTGCACACAGGAACTTCATTGAACCTGTAGAATATTATTATTCATTTATCTGACTGAAGAAAAATGTACCATGGAAAAATAAACACATAAGCAGTATAATGTGATCCTTTATTGACAACGTTTTGCCCACACAGTGGGTTTTATCAATTCACATTATACTGCTTATGTGTTTTTTCCATTGTGTCAGTATTTTATACCATTTATTTCCAAAAATGCACCATGGGTTTTCTTGTCAGTCACCTGACTGAAGAAGAATGTACCACAGGACTTCAGTCAGTCAACTGACTGAAGAGGACTGTTTCAGGCAGTTTCACTGGCAAAAGTCACAATAAAGTCTCTCTACAACTGTGCCTCTTCACCTCTTATCAACTTTGTTCCAGTTTTCTCCCCAAAAAGCAGTGTTTACTTATCCCCCTCATACTTACAGGATGTTACAATTATTGGTCGAGACCAAGAAACAGGTGTAACATTTACATGTCAACGTTACGTGGGGTCAGCGTTGTGTGCACTGGTGGCCTTCCTGGCATTCCTCAGGTATGCTACAACCTTATGCATCAACCTTAGAGAGTGCATGTCTTGAGCTTGCAAACTTTTCTAATAAATCTGTGACTGAATTTTCAAGCCTAAATGTAACCTTGAAAGCAGACAGCCTTAAAAATTTAATGAGTGTTTATGGCAATTCATAGTTTGATGTGAATAGTGACAGTACATAGGAGCGAGTGATGATGAAATTGTTTCTTCTTTTTTGTGTCGCCCTGCTTGGGTGGGAAACGACCAATGTGTTAAAAAAATAGGCATACTTTACCATAATTTCATATTATTTAGATAATAATAATATAAAATATGAAATTATTTCATATATATGCTAGTATTTATACTGCATACAATGTAACTTACTCCACTGTATATATTTATCAGTACAACAATACAATTTATATACTATGAACATGTGTATATAGTATATGGCAGATCATTCATGTTGTGATATCTGTATAGGTCTACGAGTCACTGGTATTGTAGATGAATGGTTCACAGAACCGACACGTTGAGAAATTAGACACATGTGCAACTCTTGGGTATCTTTATTAAGGAAACGTTTCGCCACACAGTGGCTTCATCAGTCCAAACACAGGAGAAGCTTGAAGAACAGGAGGAGAATGAGGTAATCAGTCCCTCAATCTTGAGTCGATGTGGTCAGTCCATCAATCTTGAGTAGAATACGGCATATGAGCAGAGAAGGAGCTTATAAACCGTAGGTAGGAGAGGTGCAGCAGTCGTAGGTGGTGTCACATTTGCCCAATGTGGAAGTAGGTTGTGCCCAAGGGTTAGGCATGCAATGGTAACAATGGTCTAATTGTCCAGACAATTGACAGTGAAGCCTGACCTCAGGTTATACTTTGAGATTAGAAAAAACCTTGAAAGCACTCACAGGTATATCACAGATATCCTAACAAAAGTTTATTTTTCAGCCCAATAGCCATGGTGTTGATCCCACGACTGAATGTGATCAAGTTAAAGAGCGAACACCTCAAGTGTGACTCCGAGTGTGATGGATTACTTATCAGCTTCTCGTTCAAGCTTCTTATCTTGCTACTAGGATCATGGGCACTCTTCTTCAGGTAAGGAATAAAAATTCACTTGGCTGGAACAATTCACAAATAACTTACACTGAGGAGAGGAACAAAAAGGCACAATACAGTGAGTGGAACAACACACAAATTACCCACACATAGTAGAATGCTCCAAGTCGAACCAAAACATCATAAATTTCAAACGAGTCTGCAATATCATAATTGTATGTTAAAAAATTAAATTAATATATTTTTACCCGAAGAGCAGGGGCCAAGTAACCCCTTCTCCTGTATAAATTACTAAATTTAAACAGAAAAACCTTTGTATTTCTTTTTAGGCCACCCTGACTCGGTGGGATACAGCTGGTTTGTTGAAAAAAAAATTTTTTTTTTACCCTGACCAGTAGTGAAGTACAATACTATAAGTTATACAGCTATCACATCAATTAACAATTAGCATAGTTCAATGGTTATTTGTGTATATGAGAACCTTGTGACTTTTAATTTGTACTGCACCATTGTCAAGTCACAATTCTTTTATCTCACCTCAGATGTGACTTAAAAAATGATCCTGGACCTCA